CAAACAAGTTATAGACTTAATGCTCCGTAAAGAGCATTTAACTAGTAAAGGTCTTTTAGATATTTTTAGTTTAAAAGCTTCTTTAAACTTAGGTTTACCTGATGTTTTAAAGAAAGCTTTCCCTAATATTGTACCAAAAGACAGACCAGTGGTTGAATGTAAAGGGATCAAGAGTCCCCATTGATTAGCAGGATTCGCCGATGGTGAATCTTGTTTTTTTGTGGAAAAATGTGTTTCAAAAACACATAGTTCTGGATACCAAGTGCGTTTAAAATTTATTCTTAGTCAAGACATTAGAGATGTCGCATTATTAAACTTATTAAATAATTATCTCAATTGTGGAAAGGTAATTGTAGATTCTAAAGGAATGTCTCGATATGTTGTTAGAAAACATTCTGACATTGCTCTCACAGTTATACCTCTATTTGCTAAATATCCTTTACAAAGTTCTAAATTAGCTGATTATAAAGATTTTTGCGAAGTAGCAAAAATCATAGATAGTAAAGCTCATTTAACTAAAGAAGGGTTGGAGCATATAGACCTGATAAAATCAGGTATGAATAGAGGTAGATTCAGTTAAAGTAAAATACGTTTCATTATTGTTATCCCTATTCTTATTATGTATCCAGATATCCTTTATTTAGTTCGGCCGCCTGCTTAATTGGCGGCTGAACATCGCGCGAGAGCGCGACGTTCTAAATATCAAGATTTCTTAGATTGACGTGAATTTCACCGTATAAGATTATCTAGAGAGTATATAACTATAGAAGGTACATCTAAATTAATCTACCTAAAAAACAGCATGAATACTAAAAGAACTCAATTTAATTGAGATTCATTGAACAGTTTTTACTGTTAAATGTAATCAGGGTTAACAATTACGAGATGGGAAAAAGTTTATTTATTCTTTTTTTTTTCAAAAAAAAAGAGTAACGACAGGATGAACTCTCGTGGATAGGGAGTTGCTCTGAGGTGACTCAGAGGCAATAAAACTCTTTTCGATGCGTGAAAGCCCTCAAGTGATAAACTATTTGAGTGAAACACACGTAATAGGCTACTCATGTTTGTCCAACGGGGGGGCCGCCGAAGGCGGCCGGGTCCCCGTAGGTTTTCTCCATTGACCCCTGTCGGGGTCAAAAGAGAAAACTAATTTTTTAATAACATATGTAAAAATGCCTATTGCAAGGGGGCAATACGCCTGAGTAGATAAAAATTTTTATTCTACTCATCAGAGACTAAACAAAGAGTATCTTAATAAGAAAGATAGAACTTGATTTGAACAATGATTAGTAGGAATAACAGATGGTGAAGGTACTTTTGGGTTTTACTATCAAAATGATAAATGAATTTTAGTTTATAAAATAGGTTTATCTAGATATAACTTAAGAGCACTATATTATATTAAAAAACAATTAGGTGTAGGTTCTATTACTAAAGACAATGATAAAGCACAAATACTAATTAGAGATAGACAAAAGCTTGAAAAAGTTATATTCCCTATCTTTGATAAATATCCTCTTTTAACAAGTAAACATTTTAATTATTTAAGATTAAAAAAAGCATTTTATATTTTAAATAATTCTAATCTTACTAAAGATGAAAAGGATAAAAAACTATTTGCTTTAAAAAACGAATCAACACCTACAAATTATATTTCTTCTGCTTGAAACAAAGTAAATTTACCTTTAAAAAGCTTTGTTGATGCTGTTTCTGTAATATCTAAACCTTGATTGGTTGGGTTTGTGGAAGGTGAAGGTAGTTTTTATTTAGTTTCAAAAGACTCTTCTAGAATAGTTCATGGGTTTGGGATAACTCAAAAATTAGATAGTGTAGTTTTAGAAGGGATTAGACATATACTACATATACCGACTAAGGTTAAATATAAATCTAATTATAATTATTATATGTTAGATACAACTAATTCAAGAGCAGTTGAAAATATTATAAATTATTTTTACAATACCATGAAAGGTATGAAAGCTGTTGAGTATAGAATCTGAGCTAGATCTTATGTTAAGAATAAAGGAAATTTAACTGAATTATCTAAAATAAGAGAAATACTTAGAAATATGAAGAAGAAATTATATGAAATTTCATATTTTGAAAGTTTTTCTTCTGCTGTACTAGATAAGTTTAAAAAAAATCCCTAATTTTTACCTATAATCTAATTAAATCATTCTTATTAATGATAATGGTATAGTCCGTTTTTTACCACTCTTATAATTTTTTTTTCTTTACTAATTCTTAAAATTTAAGGATTTATTAAGATTAAAAAAAATAAAATAGTGCTTTTTTTTAGATATTGGTTAAAAAGTAAAACAATGTCATAGTAAAAAGTCTGAATCATTTATAATAGTAATGGTATGCATTGTATTATATGCAATGTGTACCAGAGTTATGGTACAAGGTCCAGGCTACCGCGCGGATATGCGCGGTGTTACTATAGACTACTCCTTTCCCTTTAATATT